CTGCAAAGAAGAATATGAAACAAACTCTTCAAGAAGATAATCAAATTATTAATTACTGGTAATGCACCAAAATAAATGTGAAATATATTATAGATACCATTTTTCAAAAAAAAAAAAACTCATAGAATCTGTTTTACGGTTATTACTTATTAATAATAGTTTTTGTCTATTTTTATAAACACTTCAAGATTAGCATTAAATGTTGATGCCAAGTAATTTTGAAGATTTTTTTGGTGCTATTTTGAGGATTATGCTACAATAGTGAATAGTCATCAATATATTATTGTAAGTTGCGTCAACTCAAATAGATTCTAAATACGTTAAAGATTTTCTAATACCATAATTTAGAACCTAATTGTAAATAAAAAATGCAAGCTCACTGATTTCAAGCAAAAAAGTATAAACCTATGGATATCTTTTATGTTAGAATAATCATGTGGTATGTTTTCAGTTTTTTAACATAAATAATTTTATGGCAATGAAATGAACATTATCTGTGATTAATAATTTGTTTACATGGTAATCCAATATATAAGATAAAAAAATATTTGGATCATAACTTTAAATTTAATTATTCTTTATTCATTTCACATTTGCTCACTTTAGTAAAATGATAAGTTGTCAGTTTGACTCATTTCTAATTTAATATATTGTTTATATATTTATAATGATATAATGTATGTGTATTATATATATTAGATAGATTAATATTTGTGACATTTCGGGCGTAGCACGGTAAAAAATTTAGTATTGTTTAACAAGAGTAAATAATGCATCGACAAGACCGTTAAAAACGTTTGAATGTTTGTTCTTTTTTTTCTAATACAGCATTCAATGCAATCAGAGAAAAGATCAAACAATTGCGTTATAACGACAATTTACTAAAATTTTCCACCTAGTAGTCAAGCTTAACTAGTAACATTCACATCTCTGAGACCACGGTAAAACTTTACAACTAGAGGTTTCATCTCAATTATTTATTAACTAATAATCTTATTTATAAAAAGTCTCAAATTTGATTTAACAAATTATGTGCATGTATGTTAATAAAAATTATTTGCATAAATAAATACTAATATTTCCGTTATTAAATAAGTGTCACTTAAATATATTTTATGTGAATCAAGAAAATGACAAAATATATTAATATAACCATATTTAATGTATAGTAGTTACCTAAAAATAAATCTATTGGTTGTATAAAAAATAAAAATAAAGTATATGTAAAAGTTGTATTGGTAATGTAGAAGGATTTTTTTAAAACAAACAATAATTGGTAAAATGACATCCCCTATATATTATTTGCGAAATGATTTGCTACATGTCTTCTCTACAATTATTTTTACAAAAAAATAATGACATTGTTACTAAGATTGATGACATGACTTATAGTTAAATATGACTAGACAATTATATTTATTACTGATATATATATTTGGTAAAATTTATAGAATATGGCAATAACTGATACATTATATTTGATGTTGATTTTTATTTTTGATAAACTTCTTAAAATATGGTAATAACTCATAAATCAAATGATTACTAATAATAAAGATATTAAAATATGCATCATAAATTTTGAAATGATATTTAATTTTACTTTTATAAGTATACAATTTTTATTACTATTATTTTTAAAATCTTCTACATCTTTTTTAGAAATTAATAAAGTTTTAACTATTGTATCATTAGTTTCTTTTAGATATCGATAAATTTGATAAATATTGTTTAGTTATAATTTTTAATAACTATGCAATTTTTAAATGAATTTTCTTAGTAATTTTATACAAGTTGATTTAATACATTTAACTAAAATAAATAGATAAAAAAGTTCTAAGATTCGAATTTTAAATATATTACATATATATATATTATTAAATATGATTGAAAATAAACAATTTTTTATTTTGTGTTTAATAAATCAAATTTATATTAAATATTAGTCAAAAGAATAAAATATATAATATTAATATAATTTAACTTTTAAAAAATTTATCACTGTACATGATGCTGAAAAACAACTAGTTTATTATAAAAGTAGTAAAAAAAAAAATATTATAGATGATTTTGTAATCTATCATAACATCTAAGCAAGATTTTTAAGATATAAAATATGTTAGCACATCTTATACTAAACAGATAGAGTTGGACATGGCTTCCAAAGCTCAACACAATGGTCGGTGTTCTAGCTTCTCTACTTGTTCAGAGATCTGTAAGACTTCTGCTGTCGCACTCTACTCTCCTCTTATTGTTTGGTTCAATGCTTTGGAATATTTCAATATGTAAAATACTTGAAAACTGTTGAATTATAGCCAGCAAAATGAGCTGGGTGATGACAAACAAACTCTGATAACCAAAACCTGATATGTCTTGGTGAAGTCAATCTGTGAATATTTCGAAGTCTCTTATAGGGGTAGACGTTCGGGTATACGTTCGGATTCAGATCGAACATTTTAGGTTTTGGATATTTTGGACTTTTGGTATTGGGGTCTAGTACCCGTTTGGGCATTTTTGCATATCGGTTCGGGTTTGAATATTTTTAGTTTGGATTCAGATATTTCGGGTCGGTTTCGGGTATTTAGATTTTGATAAAAAAATTAAAGTCTTTCATTACTCAAGTTTCATGGATTTAAAATTGTATTATTAGTTAAAATATTTTAAAATGTTTAATAGGTTAGACGATTAATAAGTTTGAAAATAAATTATTGAAAATAAAAAATCATTAATATGGTTGTTATTTTTAAATTTTGGATACAATTTTTGTTAATACATGAAATAAGAAGCTTAACATGCATTTTAAATGAGTAACAAATCATTTTTTAACAGTTATATATATATATATATATATATATATGATATTAAGCTATACAACATTAATATAAATATTTTGAATAAAATGAGATAAATAAATTAAGAATATATATATATATATATATATATATATACATATGTTCGGTTATTTTTGAATATTCATTCGGTTTCAGTCTCGTCCGGGTACGGATATCCAATCTCTCCTGACTCAATACTTGTTCAGGTATTTTACTATTTCGGTTTAGATTTTAAGTCAGATATTTCGGATCAGATTCAAGTACGAGTTCAGGTATCAGGTAAAATGCCCATCCCTAGTCTCTTAACTTTGGGGATGAATAGAGTCTGCAAATAGTATATGTGCTTACCCTCAATTCAATGAATGAATATAATAGTTCAAAATCAAGAAAGTGAGGGATGACTTGAGCAACCAATTGGAGACAAGACCAGCTTACAAATCAATCCAATTTGGTTGACTACGTCAAGAAAAAACCGTAACTGATGATGAAAACACACAAACTAGCTGCTCTGGTCGTTTCTGTCGTTATATGGAAGTGAATAGTTTCAGAAATCTTATGTGTGTTTTGTTTTGTCTGAATTAAACCTAAAGACAGATCTCTTACATGTCATTTTCAGATAAAGCAAAGAGACTTTTAAAGGATAAGAACGTCCAAAGTCTTAGGTCAATCAAACTTGCAGTAAAAGTCTTTAGAATACTTTTTTCTTTTCAAAGTCTTAGAATACTATTCTCACTAATCAGTAACTTTGTAGTTAAGGCATCAATCAATGTACTAAAAAACTAAGGTAAAATTGTCATTTAAATCACCAACTTTCAAATTTGGTTGAAATAAATCACCAATTTTCTCATAATCCAAATAAACACTCAACTTTTCTTGACAAACTATTTTAGTAACAAACTTTCGTCGACCATACCAATTTAGTCATATCGTCAGTCAACAGTTATAGTTGACTAACGGTATGCCTAAAATGACTTTTAAAATTGGTGTTTTTTTTGTACAAATATAAATCAACAATTTTTTCAAATATTGATAATAACTATAACACTAATAAATAAAATTATAAATAAAATAAATCCCATTCAAAAATATAAACATGACTCAATGTAAAATTATTAATTAATATATCCTTAATTGAGTATTTTAGTTAAAAATGATTATGTTTTTTTAATTATTTACGATTAATTTTTAAAAACTATTTGTATAATCCTACAGGGATTATGTTTTATAATTTTACTGTCAAAATTTTGTTAGTAAAACATTACTTTAATTCTTGATTTTTCAAACAAAATGAGTTATCGGATAACAAAAAGAGTTATCTATTTTAGTGAAACTTATTTTCTTTAAAATGCAGAAAACCTCTTGTAAACATTTTATAGAAAATATATAGATTTGTTTGAAGATCTTTATTATAAACTTAAAGAATCATGAATAATTTGTTAATGGATAACTTTTTCATTTAAGAAACAAGAGTTGAATTAATATTTCATCAACAAACTTTTGAAAATAAAATTATAAAACATAATTCAAATAGGATTATATAAATATTTAAAAAATTTAATCGTAAATAATTAAAATTCTTATCATTTTATAACCAAGATACTCAATTAATGTATGTTAACTAATTATTTTACATTGAGTTTTATTTATACTTTTTATTGGATTTTTTATTTATAATTTTATTTATTAGTGCTTCAGTTATAAAAATATTTTCAATATTTAAAATAATATTGTAAAAACAAATATTGATTTATATTTGTGCCAAAAAAAACATCAACTTTGAAAGCCATTTTAGGCCTACCGTTAGTCAACTATAACTATTGACTAACGATATGCCTAAATTGGTATGGTCGAAGAAAGTTTGTGATTAAAATGGCTTGTCAACAAAAGTTGAGTGTTTTTTGGCTTATGAGAAAGTTGATGCTTTATTTCAACTAAATTTGAAAGTTGGTGATTCAAATGACTTTTCCCAAAAAACTAAGTATGTTGTTTTATTATAAAAAGGGCTTGAAAATTAGATATAAAGTTTTTGATTCAAAAAAGATCTCTCAAGAACACACACACACCACTGAGAACAAAAGCAGAGGACACAACAGGCAGCCACTTATTTTCACTTGAGTATTATTATTGTGACTGAAGCAGAACCATTATGTTTTCACTTCCAGAAATTTCTCACTGAAGGATCTTCTGGGAAGCTGGCCTCTTGGTGATCTCAGCCACCCACTCGTTGACACGTGGACGCTCGGTGAAGAGCTTCTTGGTGAGTGTTCCAAGCAAGTATTGAATCACAGGAATGTGGTGAAGATCTGTCAAAGTAAAAGTTTCACCAGCCAAATACTTGAACTCCTTGAGCCTAGCCTCGTACACATCAAGGACCTTAGCTAACTTAGCCTCTTCTTCTGCAACAACGGCTTTGTCTGTGGTCTGGCCATAGAAGTTCTTGAACACTTGTTCCCAAGCAAGNCACAGGAATGTGGTGAAGATCTGTCAAAGTAAAAGTTTCACCAGCCAAATACTTGAACTCCTTGAGCCTAGCCTCGTACACATCAAGGACCTTAGCTAACTTAGCCTCTTCTTCTGCAACAACGGCTTTGTCTGTGGTCTGGCCATAGAAGTTCTTGAACACTTGTTCCCAAGCAAGCTTTGAAGCCACTGGGTCGAATGGGTGAGCTTCTACTTCCGTACCAATAGCCATGATCGCATATTGGGCTATGTTCTTGGAGTCAGCTGGGAGAAGGTTGGTTCCTTGGCCTTCATATCGGTGAGCTATGTACTGAGTAATGGCTCTTGATTCTACACAAAATGAACCAAATCATGTATTCGGGTCGGTTTCGGGTATTTAGATTTTGAAAAAAAAAATTAAAGTCTTTCTTTACTCAAGTTTCATGTATTTAAAATTTTATTATTAATTAAACTATTTTAAAATGTTTAATAGGTTAGACGATTAATAAGTTTGCAAATAAATTATTGAAAATAAAAAATCATTACTATGGTGCTATATTTAAATTTTGGATACATTTTCTGTTAAAACATGAAATAAGAAGCTAAACTTACATTTTAAATGAATAACAAATCATTTTTTTAACAATTATATATATATATTATATGATATTAAGATATACAACATTAATATAAATATTTTGAATAAAATGAGATAAATAAACTAGGAATATATATATAATCGGTTATTTTTGAATATTCATTCGGTTTCGGTCCCGCTCGGGTACGAATATCCAATCTCTCCTAACTCAATACTCGTTCGGGTATTTTACTATTTCGATTTGGATTTTAGGTCGGATATTTCGGGTCAGGTTCGAGTACGAGTTCAGGTATCAGGTAAAATGCCCATCCCTAGTCTTTAACTTTGGGGATGAATAGAGTCTGCAAATAGTTCAAAATCAAAAAAGTGAGGGATGACTTGAGCAACCAATTGGAGACAAGACCAGCTTACAAATCAATCCAATTTGGTTGACTAAGTCAAGAAAAATCCGTAACTGATGATGAAAACACACAAACTAGCTGCTCTGGTCGTTTCTGTCGTTATAGGGAAGTGAATAGTTTCAAAAATCTTATGTGTGTTTTGTTTTGTCTGAATTAAACCTAAAGACAGATCTCTTACATGTCATTTTCAGACAAAACAAAGAGACTTAAAGGATAAGAACGTCCAAAGTCTTAGGTCAATCAAACTTGCACTAAAAGTCTTAGAATACTTTTTTTTTCAAAGTCTTAGAATACTATTCTCACTAATCAGTAACTTTGTAGTTAAGGCATCAATCAATGTACTAAAAAACTAATTAGTATGTTGTTTTATTATAAAAAAGGGCTTGAAAATTAGATATAAACTTTTTGATTCAAAAAAGATCTCTCAAGAACACACACACACCACTGAGAACAAAAACAGAGGACACAACAGGCAGCCACTTATTTTCGATTGAGTATTATTATTGTGACTGAAGCAGAACCATTATGTTTTCACTTCCAGAAATTTCTCACTGAAGGATCTTCTGGGAAGCTGGCCTCTTGGTGATCTCAGCCACCCACTCGTTGACACGTGGACGCTCGGTGAAGAGCTTCTTGGTGGGTGTTCCAAGCAAGTATTGAATCACAGGAATGTGGTGAAGATCTGTCAAAGTAAAAGTTTCACCAGCCAAATACTTGAACTCCTTGAGCCTAGCCTCGTACACATCAAGGACCTTAGCTAACTTAGCCTCTTCTTCTGCAACAACGGCTTTGTCTGTGGTCTGGCCATAGAAGTTCTTGAACACTTGTTCCCAAGCAAGNCACAGGAATGTGGTGAAGATCTGTCAAAGTAAAAGTTTCACCAGCCAAATACTTGAACTCCTTGAGCCTAGCCTCGTACACATCAAGGACCTTAGCTAACTTAGCCTCTTCTTCTGCAACAACGGCTTTGTCTGTGGTCTGGCCATAGAAGTTCTTGAACACTTGTTCCCAAGCAAGCTTTGAAGCCACTGGGTCGAATTGGTGAGCTTCTACTTCCGTACCAATAGCCATGATCGCATATTGGGCTATGTTCTTGGAGTCAGCTGGGAGAAGGTTGGTTCCTTGGCCTTCATATCGGTGAGCTATGTACTGAGTAATGGCTCTTGATTCTACAAAAATGAACCAAATCATGTTAGTGAAATTTTATTTTATTATACAGTAGTTAGACATGTGTATTCGGTTAGTTCGGGTTATTCGATTCGGTTAGTTCAGTTTTTTTGTTAGTTCGGTTTGACATAAATCTTGGCAATTTTACCCGAAATATAATTCGGTTGGGTTCGGTATTCGGTTTGTTCAGTTTTTGAAAATCCTATCGAACTTAACCGAAGTTTTTGATTTTGGTTAGAAGATGAGATGGTGCATGAAAACGTTCATACCAAAGAGCTTGAGGTCTCCATCTTCAAAGGCTGGGACTTTACCAAAAGGCTGCAGCATCAATCAAACGTTCAAGATTCGGACCAGATTCATCAAAATGGTTGGTCTTGTCTTAGAAAAACACAGATAAATATACTTACGTTGCGGGAGAGGAAAGGCTCTTTCTTGTGCTCACCATCCTTAAGCTCAACATTAACAAGCTCAAAGTCAAGGTTCTTCTCGTGGAGGGCGAGGAGGACTCTCCTGGTGGAAGTGGAAGCAGCGTTTCCAAAAACCTTGATACCTGCCATTTGTTTGGTTACTAAGAAACTAGTGATGTGTTTGATGTTGAAGGTGATGAATCAAGAGAGACTACTAGTGATGCTATTTATAAAGTTAAAAAGAGAGCCTTTCAATATTTTGTTAAACAGATAAATGATGCATCTTGAAGACCGTCGCTAACCAATATTGACTTGTCTTTTTAGAATGATTTATTCAAAGTTGAATTGGATTGTAGAAAACGTTTGAATGTTTGTTTGTTTTTTGTTTTTACATTTATTTGGTTATGGGATATAGTTTTTTAATACAGCATTGAATGTCATTAGAGAAAAGATCAGAACAAGTACGTACTAACTAACAGCCATGTGACTCAAGCTTCATCTAGTACTAACATCACATTCCTTGGTTGCTACTGGGTTCGAATAGTTTTGAGATGCTTTAAATCGGAATGCCTTGTCAGTTAATGTTTATTTATGTTTAATCCCGGTTTTGGTTAAGATTTTTCGTATTTTTTTATTGTAACCAACATAAAACAATTTTGTTAGTCAAACCAACATAGAGACAAAATATAACCTCCTTTGGTTGTATAAAACTTTTGAGTTTAATGGTTTGTTTAAGTGTTTCTTAATATTAACATAATTCATAAAATTAAAAATATAAGAAAATTTTGACAAGATGAAAAAAAAAACTTTTAAATATTAATTTTATTAGGTGATTTACTGCGGTCATGTGGAATTTGTAAAACTATTAAGCGTGGATTCTTATAAAAACAGTAGAATTGTTTATTATGAAATTATCTCTTTAATAGTTTTCATAACTTATAGGTGGTTATAGCAACACAATAACTTCGGTTTAAAAATATTTTTAATTTTGCATTCAAACTCTTGTGCTAGAAAAAGTATTTTTAATTCGTTTTTAATGTGCTAATGCATGCAAGTATGAACAAATGTTTTCTCTTTTGAAAAACAGTACGAACAAATGTTTTTTAAAACATTCTAAAGATGTTATAAGAATGATTAACTAAAGATCTTCTTTTTTTGCTATGTTCAGAAAAAAAAAACAAAGATGTTTAGAAGATGAAATTTTCAAAGAATATCTCTCCTTTTTTGTGTTGACAAACTTCAGAAAATTACAGAAAAGTAAACAAATGGTAGCCCGGCCAATCAGATTCCCTTGAGCTGTCCTAATAAACCAGTCAAGCTCGACCATTTCTCAAATGCACTAGCCGATGACACGAAAGCGAGCTTAGATGATTCTACATCGTTCTTGTTCACTGCGTATACAGATCAAAACCAAGTTTCAAGAAGATCTTTATAATGTCTTAAACAGATACAATTTTGATTTGTGAATGGTGAAGTTATTAAAGAACGAACCTGATGTAACAAGAGAAGCTAAAGATGAATTAAATGTTTCCACCTCTGAATTCTCTTCTGGACTTGCACTCAACTGTCATAAGAACACAAAGAAGAAGCTTTAACATCAAGTAATTAACCAAACCATTAAACAAAAGTCTTTAACTATATGGACCTTTGTGAAAGCCAAGTTAGCTGTTTTGACCCATTCGGTATCACTACCATTCCCCAAAACCAAACTTGCAGCTGGTAGATCATTCTTCTCAATGGCTTGTCCTACTTTGCTTAAATTGTAAACAAGATCCTGCAAATACCCTGCAACACACACACACACTTAATGCTTTTAACACATAGACACAACATAACAAGAACCAAGTTTGGTCCAAAAAGAATTGGACCATAAGGCTTAATGTAAATGGCATTGGAACAAAGCGTTAACTATGTATACCATAACTTAAAGAGCAAACACATTTGCCCTAAAAGAAGACTAGGGTTCAATGTAAAAGGCGTTGGAATAAACCAATTAATAAACCAAAACTTGCAATTTTCTTATCAACATAACAAGAACAAAGTTTTTGCAATACACATACAGAGAGAGATTTCAAGAAGTACCCTTTTCTTTAACAGCAGAGTTAAGAACCGCTTGTCTCTCAATCCTCTTTTTCCGGTCTTGCTTCACCTTCTCCAGAAGCTCTTCATCGTCATCAGCTTCAAGAATCGCTGCATTCGCGTCGCGGCTTCTCCTCTCGTTACTCACGAGACCAACCGCGAGAAAGGTGCTCATAAAACCAAGCGATAGCTCTCGCCTGTTCCATGACAGAGACGATGTCTGGTTCTTGATGTTTCCTGATGAGCATGCGATTTGGTTGTTCCTGGAAGATGTTGATGAGGAGAAGAATGAAGTTAGGGTTGAAGAACAAAGAAGTGACTTCGCCATTGTTCTTTGTCCTCTTCAAATTTTTCTACTTGGCATTTATTTCTGGAGGATTGGCGTAAGTTGATGATAAGGTCTCTCTAGCTAAGACCTGTTGCGTTGTATCGTTTTCCTCCAATCATTCACTCTCACAGTCTCTCCCGTACATGCAATTCGGTTTGTACGGTTGGTCTGGTTCTGGGTGATTCGTTTTTTTGTTCGGTTCATTAATCTGAACAAAACAAAACTCAGTTCAGTTTTATTAATCACTTAATTTGATTTTCTAAAAGTTATACC